ATCATACATTTCATTAAAACTTTACTTCTTAAAGGGATAGTTCACCCAAAAATAAAAATTTGGTCATTAATCACTCACCCTCATGTCGTTTCAAACCCGTAAGACCTTCGTTCAACTTCAGAGCACAAATAAGATATTTTTGATGGAATCTGAGCGCTTTCTGACCCTCCCATAGACAGTAATGCAACTGAAGTGTTCCCAAGTCCAGAGACGTAGCAAGGAGATCGGTAAAATAATCCATGTGACATCAGTGGTTCATTCGTAATATTACGAAGCTACGAGAATACTTCTTGTGCGCAAAAGAAAAAAAAAACGACTTTATACAACAATTCGTCTCCTCCGCATCACCCTGTAGCACCATTTTGGAGAATATCCGCTGGACGTAAACAGCGTATGCTGTTCTGTGTCAGCTGCGTCACGCCGGATCTGTTTCCTACGTTGTTGTGATTTGATCTGAACGAAAACAGCGTATCCGTGTGACGCAGCTGACACAGAACAGCATATGCTGTTTACAGGGAAATGCGGAGGAAAATAATTGTAGAATAAAGTCGTTATTTTTTTTTTTTTTTGCGCACAAGAAGTATTCTCGTAGCTTCGTATAATTGCAGATGAACCACTGATGTCACATGGATTATTTTACAGATCTCCTTGCCACGTCTCTGGACTTGGGAATATTTCAGTTGTATTGGTGTCTATGCAGGGTCAGACAGCTCTCAGATTCCATCTAAAATATCTTAATTTGTGTTCCGAAGATGAACGAAGGTCTTACGGGTTTGAAACGACATGAGGGTGAGTAATTAATGACAGAATTTTAATTTTTGGGTGAACTAACCCTTTAAGAACCAACACAATGAAAACAGCACAAATCCCCTTTAGTGTTGTGCCACACTATTGCAGACCATCATCGCCGTGGCAAAGCATCATGGGAAATCCTTGATGGACTGATAGTGAGTATTATAGAGAGAATGCTGTTAATTAATATCCTTCTCAAGAGTAAGGGCCATTTGATTTTGTATAATAGCTTATTAAATGCATATCTTCCATTATCGTTAATTATCTGTAGAGTTGGGGTACTCAGACTCGAGTCCGGTCTCGAGTACAGTTAGTTAAAGGACTCGGACTTGTCATGGACTCGGATGGATTTTTACTCGTACTTGACTCGGACTCGGAAAATATGTCCGAGTCCAACCGAGTCCAGGGACAATCGACGGAAATGTCACTGACACGAAAGTGATATTCAGTATTTGCATGTGTTTTTAAGTCTTGTCCAGTACTTGAAAGTTCTCTTAAGTTCTGTTATTGCTACACACTTACACGTAAGGTTGTCAAAAGGCCCGTCTTGGAGACTATTCATGTAAATGCAGTCGGTTTTGTCTTAAGTGTAAAAATAATTTTTCGAACATCTTTGCAGCAATAGTTTTTATGGGTCCAAAATCACCTTGATGTGCACTATTTTCTAATAATTCAATGGCCCGTCATCAGTTATTCCTTACAGAATGTAATTTACTGTAATTAACTATAAATGCATTCAAAAATAAAACAGGTGTGAGTTGACTGTGACTTATGGAAAGTATATGTAGGGCTTTTATACACAGTGTCTGTACCATTGTACAGACTAGGTTTATCCCTCACAGCCTCATTTTCATCCAAGAAAAAATAAAAAATGCCCTGTCTAAGGGGTCTGTGTACTTTGGCGTACATTCATTTTTAGTTTTAGTTTTTACCCAGAAATTAAAATGTAGTTTCTTCTTTAATGGTTCAAACACTGATGAATAGAATAAGCAGACACAAACTAATTTTGATTATTCAAAATTCATATTTCATTAAAAATCGTAAAAATTATATAACGTTTTTTTATTGAGATAAAAGGGCCCATTCACCAAGATACCTACTCCTCTACCCCCACCCTTGAATTTATACATTTACTTTAACGATTAATAAAGTCAAGTCCCGCCCTTTAACTTTTCACGTTCTAAAACCTGTTTCACTCAATATGTCACAATACATAAATCAATTCAGCCATAACTTCTGTTATATGACTAATCACTAATTATTAATCAAAAATCAAAATGGCAAGATGCAATAGAGGTTTCCTTTTGTTACATTTAAATGGACATTGTGTTTTTCTAGTTGTAAAGGTTAAAACAATGTTAAGATACTAATAAATAACAACTCGGACTTGTCTCGGACTCGATTGGTTAAAGACTCGGACTCGACTTGGACTCTACTTTGGTGGACTCGAACCCAACACCAATTATCTGTTGCTCATTTCCTTATGATTACGATTACAATATTCTTTCGATTGCTTTTGTCTGTTTGTTCAACATGTTAGAGATGTTGTGTCAGATAATCATGAAAAAAGGTGATTCCTATTTCAAACTAGCAGACAATACGTACGAATGGCTGAATCAACCAAATTTATTCACCATTAGTCTACAAGTACAGATTAAAAAAACACACACACACACACGTTACTGTACACATTTGTGTTGTCAAATATACTTTGGGTGGGTTGATTATGCTAGAAAATGTCTGAATGGAACCAATGAAAATGCAAAAAGCAACCCATAACCCACAAAGCCAACTCACTGTTTAACTGCAGCTAACCGAGCGTATTTACAAATCACCTACGCCGAATGAAACATTCAGTCGAATCAGTCACAGGTGCCTCCGACGTGACGTCGAGAGTGACCGACTGAGAGGGAACTCAATGGCTGGCGTATCGTAGAGGAAACCCAGAAACGAAACAGAGATAACCCAGCTAACAAAGATACTTTCAAAGAATTTTGCTAACGTTGTCATTAAGCTGTAAAAATGTTATTTCTGAACGTTCTCTAAGTGTCCAGTTTTTAATATGTTTAAAAATGTTGTTTCCTGGTTGTATGAACGGAAAGGGAACATTCCATTTTGTAATTTTGAATATTACTTTAGAATATTCTTTGAGCATTCTGAAACAAATAGCATCATTTAAAAAATGTTAGCTGAACATCCAACCAAAACGTTTAGTTTTATCATTTTGCAAACATTACTTCTGAATGTTTTCCGACATTCCAAAGTAACATTTGAAAAACGTCCAACGAAAAATGTTTCAGAAAACATTCCAAAAAGTTTCAGAAACAAACGTTCCAAGAACAACGTATAAATAGTGTTTTTGTGCTAATATTTTGAGAACATTATTCAAATGTTTTATTAACATTACTGGAAAAACAACTACAAATTCAGTTGATAGAGCTTAATTTGAAAAACGTTAAGGGAACATTCCATTTTATTTTTTTGCAAACGTCATGGGAATGTTACTTTTGAACGTTCTCTGATATTCAAAAGTAACATTTAAAAAATGGTATAGGAACATCCAACTAAAATGTTTCATTTTATCATTTTGTAAAAATTATGGGAATGTTACTGTTGAATGTTCTCTGACATTCAAAAGTACCTGGTAGACAAACTTTCAACTAAAACATTTCAGGAAAAAATGTTCCATGAACAATGTATAAATAATGTTTTTGTGCTAACATTTTGAGAACAGTATTAAAGACCAGATGATGTTGAATGAGTGTTCTATTAACATTACTGGAAGAACAACTACAAAATGCAGTTGATAGAGAAAAACGTTAATGGAATATTCCATTGTATCATTTTTCAAACATTATGTTCTCTGAACATTCTAAAAACAACTAGTAACATTTAAAAAATGATAGACATACGTCCAGCTAAACCATTTCAGGCATAAAACATTACACGAATGGTGTATTAATTATGTTTTTGTGCTAACGTTTTGAGAATGTTATTAAAGTCCTGATAACTGTAAATGAATGCTGTTGACAGAACATAATGTTCTCAGATATTCAAAAGTAACATTCAAGAAATGTTTTACAAACATCCAGCTAAAATGTTCCAAACGTGCAAAAATTATAGGAACATTACTTCTGAATGTTCTTTGAGGTTCAAAAATAGCATTTAAAAACATTTCAGGAAAAAAAAAAGTTCCATAAATGCTTTATAATGTTCAAATTAATGTATAAATAATGTTTATGTGCTAATGTTTTAAGAACATTATTAAAGACCAGCCGACGAATGTTCTATTAATGTTACAGGTAGAACATTAGTTCATAACTTTTTCAGAATGTTAGCTAAAGTTCTAAAACGATCCCTGTTAGCTGGGAATGTGACAAAGGAAAGAAAAACAATGTCAGTCATTTATTGTGCTTTGAAACCCTTTCCCCACTTCGGTACATTACTTCTGAATGTTCTTTGAGGTTCAAAAATAGCATTTAAAAACATTTCAGGAAAAAAAAAAGTTCCATAAATGCTTTATAATGTTCAAATTAATGTATAAATAATGTTTATGTGCTAATGTTTTAAGAACATTATTAAAGACCAGATAACGTTGAACAAATGTTCCATTAACAATACTGGAAGAACAACTGCTGTTGACAGAGCTTAACTTGAAAAACGTTAAGGGAACATTCGATTTGATCATTTTGCAAACGTTATGGGAATTTTTTGAATGTTCAAAAGTAACATTTGAAAAAATGTTAGACGGACGTCCAGCCAAAACATTTCAGGAACAAACATTCCATTAATGATGTATAAATATTGTTTTTGTTTTGAGAATATTTCACCAGATAACTTTGAACGAATGTTCTATTAATGTTACAGGTAGAACATTAGTTCATAACTTTTTCAGAATGTTAGCTAAAGTTCTAAAACGATCCCTGTTAGCTGGGAATGTGACAAAGGAAAGAAAAACAATGTCAGTCATTTATTGTGCTTTTAAACCCTTTCCCCACTTCGGTATCGAAATGGGACTTGTTTTGAGAAGAGGCACTAGCTAAAGTGCTTACATCAGTTTATATTCAACCGCTATCGCTATTGTTTAGGACTCAAGTTAGAAATCATAAATCTATATAGGTTCTGATTCACTGTATGTATAAACAGTGCAGGTTTTGCAGCAGTTCTGGAAAAATAGTTTCAGGTTTGTAGTCCAGCGTCCACGCATGAAGCCCTTGCGTTTGCTCTACGTGCGAGAAGAAAGTCTGGATCCTTCCCAAGCCGACCCGGAATTGATGGAGTGGAAAGCTTGCGCTGGAAGCGGGAACGGGTCAAGGTGGGACGCTTAAAAAAAGAAACCTGTTGAAGTGGGACACCGCTGCAAATTCCTCCAGTTGGATTGTTTGTTGACATCATTCGCTCTCTCCCGTCTCGCTCTCTCAGACAGTTACTTCAGTCTTGCTGGCGGTTCTGTACTGATGATGGTGATGTCCAGGTATATACTGCAGGTGGTCCACTGTATGCATGCGGCGGCTGGCGAATGCCTGCCTTTTGTTGCCCACCTGCGCGCTGTTCACAGTCAGTGTGTTGTAGGACTCGTTGTTGCTGCTGCTGGGGTGCGAATGCATCTTCATCATTTTGTAGTGCCGGTCCATGACCGGTGTGGTCGGCACGAACATGTCCGTATGTGACAGCGCCCGCGACATGGCCTTCTCCCGGAAATCGGAGCGCCGCAAGGACAACATCTTATCCGGTGAGAGCAGCGGGTCCTGGGAGTGCAGTCGGTCAGCTGACAGCAGCTGCTCCTCGGAGAGGATGCGTCCGTGGTACGGGGACAGACCGCCTGCACCGCCGCTGTACGATGTTAGGCCGTAGTCCCGGTGCGGTTTGGAGTGTGCGGGCGAGAGCACTTGGTCCTGGGACATGGCGCGCTGCACGCGTTTGGGCTTCTGGCGCTGCGCCGGTGGATCCACGTTCAGCTTGATCATGTGTGTCTGCAGGTTGCCGCCGCGAGGCGTCGGATCGGGTAAATGGTGCTTTCGGATGTAGTACTCGTCATCCTTACCGCCTGAGAAAGAGAGAGGAGAGCACTGTGGTTACCGGAAAACTAAAACTACTGAAAAACATTTATGCTTTATCAAATACAATAAACATTAATACTAAAATAATATTTAAAAAATGTTATCTTAGTTTTTCAGTTAGTTGCCAAGGAAACACTTGTCATTTTTCTTTAGTTTAAAACTTAAAATAATTAACTAATGAATTATATGAAATAAAATGATAAAAAATGAACATATACAGGGCCTAAAACTAACTTTTTGCCACACCTGCCAATGGCCGGTGACTTAAGGAAATTCACCGGCCAGAAATATTTCTTACCAGCCATGGAAAAAAAAACAGCAGCAGTGAGTGATTGTTTTTTTTCGTCTTTGTCCTATTTTCTTTGATCAACATTAAAAACGCAGACAACAGCAGGATTATTGGAATTCTGAGTCTATCACTTAAACACCATGTCTACACCGCAGCAGCTTGAAGTTGTCAACACTGGATGCGACAAAGTGGCCGTTGCTTGGACTATTTCAGAAACAGAACGGGGAATCCGTTTACTCTCAGGGATTTGTTGTGTCGCGCCGCATCCTGTGTAGACATTATCACTGATTATAATGGGTTCTACTGTCTTGTGACACATTGCGTCGTGTGCAGTTTGTGTTCGGTTTCTTTCTAAAACACAACACAACTGCTGACAATCATTTGTGATAGATTAAATAAAATGGACATTCACTGAAATAAAATCAAATATAAAAACGTTTTATTTCAGTTAACATGTCCAATTTAGAAATGCAGTTTAGTTTAAGTACTAAAAAACACATACACAAAAAAAACATTTTAAATAAAAAACCTTAAATAAAAAAAAAAAATCTATATTGAACAAGAACAAAAACTAATGAAAACAACAGAAACACACGACAAAGATACTTAAAATGAAAATGGAAAATATACAAATGTAAACTAATAAACAAATAAATAAATAATAAATACTATTATACTATATTAAGTATACTAAAATAACACTGGATCAGAGTCAAATAAGCAGAAAACAAACACAGAACAAACTCTGACTGATAAGAACAAAAGTCTGTCCTGAGTTGAATTTTATAACTTAGTTTGGAAGAAAAAAAATGCAACTGATGCCAAAGCTACAAGTCCAGCAGAAACTATTTTGCTGATGGAAAAATGCGGCACTAAATTGTGTTTTTATGTCTTTGTTTCCTCACTTTATCAGTTTTTATCGCTCTGTTAATCTTTTTCTTGTTTTTCTCAACAATGGCTCTGGAAACACAAAGTCGGAGTCTTTTGCTGCTATTATCCTGTGTAGACATTATCACTGATTATAATGGGTTCTACTGTCTTGTGACACATTGCGTCGTGTGCAGTTTGTGTTCGGTTTCTTTCTCAGCTGTTCATGTTCACTTAAGAACCAACTACTTTACTAGGATACTCACAGAGACGGGCATTTTTGACATCATTTTGTGTGAATTTGTCCGTTCAAGCGCGGGAAGGAAGCAGAGCTCAAGACGTGGCTTTCAGGCCGGGGCTTCAGATGTTTAAACTTCCCACAATTTCATATGTTCTAGCTCTTGAATATTTACATTGCAAAGGCTTAAACTTTTGTGATGAAGCAGCACTGACCTTTTAACTGTACAGAGCGTCGTTCATATTTGTTCACGTTTATGTTCTCACAACATTGCACAACATTTATACAAATATTACCGGCCATCTGGCGACTGACACAGTTTCATACACTCGCCAAAGCCAATTTTTACTTGCATTTGGCGCTTGGGGAGTGTAAATTTTAGGCCCTGTATATATATATATATATATATATATATATATATATATATATATATATATACAAAAACAACAAAAACACAACACAACTGCTGACAATCATTTGTGATAGATTAAATAAAATGGACATTCACTGAAATAAAATCAAATATAAAAACGTTTTATTTCAGTTAACATGTCCAATTTAGAAATGCAGTTTAGTTTAAGTACTAAAAAACACATACACAAAAAAAACATTTTAAATAAAAAACCTTAAATAAAAAAAAAAAATCTATATTGAACAAGAACAAAAACTAATGAAAACAACAGAAACACACGACAAAGATACTTAAAATGAAAATGGAAAATATACAAATGTAAACTAATAAACAAATAAATAAATAATAAATACTATTATACTATATTAAGTATACTAAAATAACACTGGATCAGAGTCAAATAAGCAGAAAACAAACACAGAACAAACTCTGACTGATAAGAACAAAAGTCTGTCCTGAGTTGAATTTTATAACTTAGTTTGGAAGAAAAAAAATGCAACTGATGCCAAAGCTACAAGTCCAGCAGAAACTATTTTGCTGATGGAAAAATGCGGCACTAAATTGTGTTTTTATGTCTTTGTTTCCTCACTTTATCAGTTTTTATCGCTCTGTTAATCTTTTTCTTGTTTTTCTCAACAATGGCTCTGGAAACACAAAGTCGGAGTCTTTTGCTGCTATTATGAGTCTCTCCGGATCAGGGATATGTGTGTGTGTGTGTGTGTGTGTTTATGTGGGATGTGTAGAGTTTGTTAAGGAGCAGATGAACTCAAGAAGAGGGCATTTCTCCTTTGGGATGCTATTGATGATTATAATGATGATGATGATAATCATAATAATAATAATAATTTTACTATTGTTATTACTAAATACAATATATAAAAATATTACTATTGTAATTATACACTGTAAAATAAAATTAGTATTTAGGAATGATAACAATAATAATAATAATTATTATTATTATTATTATTGATAATATATATATATATATATATATATATATATATATATAACAATCTATAATTAATCTTATCTATATTAATATCTGATCTATATGCTTTTTTCTCACAGCTGAATTTTGTGTTAAAATGTTTTAAGTTTTGGCAGTCCAAGCTAATTTGGACTCAAGAAAGGTTCATTCATCACACTAAAGATTAAATATTAAGTATTAACTTCTAACTCTAACGTAAAAAAAAAAAACTTGTCTAAAAATGAAATAAATAAATTTAACAACTTCTTTTACTAGCTTGTAGTGTAGCTAACAACTTTTCTAAAAGTTGTAACTACTTGAACTGATGACACGCTCCAGTTTTTAAGTCGCTTCCCCAAAATCGATGACATCATTTCCTTCCTGAGCAGCAGTGGACAGAGACTGCAGCTGCAGATGAATGTGTTTGTGAGCGTTCAGTATGAGACCAGCTATCGATTCTCCACTGAACTGTTTATCTTGGAGCTAATGAAGACAGGTTCAGATAGCTGGCCGGCTGGTGTAGTTCAGAATTACCATCACTGACAGCGCAGGCTTCTGGCAGACGCCGATGTGAGGGCATGACATTAGACGTGAAAAGGTCAGGCGAACTGCCTACGGGCCAACGGTCACTCCGGACCCCAGAGCTCAATTATCCGCTCAGATACGACGGCTTCAGATCAGCATGCAGTAATGCAATCTAATGCCACAGATGTCCAGTATGAGCTACTGGCCATCCGGGATGAAGTCCACTGGACGTCCCATCACAAGAGGAGGATGAATGCTAATCTCTCAGGTCAGCTACAATATGAGCCAAAGGGAGCAACCTTTTTATTGTCTTTCTCTTATTTATCATGCTAAATAACTGGAGTGGAAGGACCTGGGGGTGGGGGGGCAAGGTCGGGAGGGAGTTCAGCTTCCTGACTGCCTGATGAATGAAGCTGTCCTTCAGTCTGCTGGTCCTGGCCTGGAGACTCCGCAGTCTCCTCCCTGATGGCAGCAGCCTGAAGAAGCTGTCTCGGGTGGGGGGGATCACCTGCTATGCAGAGGGCTTTGCGGGTGAGACGGGTTCCATAAATGTCCTGGAGGGAGGGGAGAGAGACACTAACGATCTTCTCAGCTGCTCTCACTATGTGTTGAAGGGTCTTCCGGCAGGACGCGATGCAGGCGCCATACCACACAGTGATGCAGCTGGTCAGAATGCTCTCGATGGTGCCTCTGTAGAAGATGCACATGATGGGGACCAGGGCTCTGGCTCTTCTCAGTTTGCTAGAGACGCTGCTGTGCTTTCTTGGCCAGCTGGACCAGTTTGTGAATGAGCTGTTGAGGGATGATTGTGTTAAATGCTGAACTGAAGTCTATGAATAGCATTCTGACGAATGAGTCTTTTTTATCCAGATGTGTGAGTGCTGAGTGGAGGGCAGTGGCGATGGTGTCATCGGTCGAGCGGTTGGACCGATATGCAAACTGGAAGGGGTCCAGGGAGGGGGGGGGGGAGGACAGACTTGATGTGGTGCATGACTAGCCGTTCAAAGCACTTCATGAGAATAGAAGTAAGTGCAACTGGATGGTAATCATTGAAGCAGGATGGAGACGGCTTCTTCGGGACTGGAATGATGGTGGTAGCTTTGAAGCATGTGGGGACAACAGCCGGACTTAGCGAGATGTTGAAAATGTCTGTGAAGACATCAGTGAGTTCCACTGCACAGTCTCTCAGTACACACCCAGGAATGTTGTCAGGACCCGGAGCTTTGCGTGCATAGATCCTGCTGAGGGATCTCCTGATGCTGTCCGGGGTCATCTCCTGGTCGCCGGGAAGAGGTGGAGTCTTCTGTGCAGCGGTGCTGTTTTGTGCCTCAAAGCGAGCGAAGAAGGCGTTCAGCTCGTTCAGCAGGGAGATCGTGCTGTCACAGGTCCGCGGTGGGGGCTTGTAGTCCATATTGTATCATTGGCTTGTATCGTATTGCATTGCATTTTTCAAAAGATATAATGCAATGAAATGCAGTGATGACTGAGAGATGAACAAATAAACATTCCTCTGAAGTCTGATGATGATCATATTTTATATTTTAACATGATTTTTATAAAAACTGATGTTTGAATAATCAAGTCCAGTATGTGTTCATCCTGAACTATTACTAGCAATATTGATATTATTCTTACATTTACTTTATAAAAATCAGTAAAGACACACAGCAAAATGACACGTGAAGCACAAGCTGAAGGTGATGTTTGTACAATTATATTTAAACACTTTTTGCTTGCTAAAACTATAAATCAGACGACAGAAGGCATGTAGCAGATTGTGTGCAACTGGTTTTTCAGCAATGTTTCATCATGTTTATCATTTAGAGACCTTAGAAATGTGTGTATCAAATATGATACAGTAGGAATTATAGAGTTAAACCTATAAGCATTGCATATTCTCTTTCTCTCCCTGCTTTGTGATCCGTCTCCCTATTAAAAACCTGACTAATTGTTCTTCATTACTGGTCATTACTCTCCGGTCAGCTCACAGCAGGTGAAGCCCTAAATTACTCAAACAGCACTACAAACTGGCCTTGTGATTTAAGACACCAGAAGCACCATTATTTTACATCCCACAGCAAATAAAATCAATATTAATGCTCCAACATGTCTATAACAGGTCTATGTCTAATGTCTAACTTGTCTTTTTGTGATTTTTATAGTCTGTAAGTCATGGCAAGTTTATTTCTTGCTCTTAATTCATGGTAAGTTTGCTTTTGAGATCAGTCTCCATTTAAAACTTCATTATTAATTCATTTTGGTTTTCAATCTTGTAATTTTCTTCATTCTGTGTTGAATTTCATTGATTTAAGAGCTGTTGTGCCATCCATCTGATCATAATAGCTCTGGAATATGTTAACACAGCATGTCAATAATTTCATGTTTCATTTATCCTGCCCTTTGCATTTAATGAAAGCCAGTTGGCTGGTTATTTTTCATTTAGCAGGTGCTTTTATCCACAGTGCATGTATTATAGTCGCAGTCCCTGTGGGGATGAGCGTCCTGTGCAAGGGCACTGAAGTGACAGCAGATCACACAAACTTTCTAATTTAAGAAACAACCTCCAACGAGTTTAAACCTATAACCTTTGGATTGCCCACTGAGATATTGTGATGTGTGCTGCTGTCAAAATATGGGGTCAAAATATGTTTTTCAAGTCTCTTCTGCTCATCAAGGCTGCATATTTTTTATTAAAAATACAGTAAAACAATAATATTATTTAATACAATTTAAACTGTTTTCTATTTCAATATTTGTTAAAATATGATTTATTTCTGTGAACAAAGCTGAATTTTCAGCATCATTACTCCAGTCTTCAGTGTCACATGATCCTTCAGAAATCATTCTAATATGCTGATTTGCTGCTCAAGAAACATTTCTGATTATCAATGTTGAAAACAGTTTTCATTGGATTTTTCAGGATTCTTTGATGAATAGAAAGCTCAAAAGAACAGCGTTTATTTGAAATAGAATTTTTTATGTGATTAGAACTGTCACTTTTAATTAAGTTAATGCATCTGTCCCAAGATCATATTCATTTTTTAGCTCTATGCTCTTGCTGTATGACAATTATTGTGTCTCTTTTTATTTCTCCCTGTCCAGAGGAAGAAACAGCAACTTTTGAGCAACTGCAGCTCATATAAAAGAGAAATACTACAACTGAAAAAGATTTGTTTATGTTCTACCTGAAAACATATGCATAAATGATCATGCGATATTTCTTTGAACAAGTATCCAATTAGACAACTTGTATGAATATATATTTTGTATACTCACTGTCTAACTGTTAATGTTACAAAACATTTACAGACATTTATAATGTTACATAAGAGGTAAAATAAATGCTGTTCATTGAACTTTCTATTAATCATCCTGAAAATGTTGTATCATGGTTTCCAAACATTTAAAGCAGCAAAAGCTGCTTCTGAAGGAACATGTGACACTGAAGAATGGAGTAATGATGCTGAAAATTCAGCTTTGCACCGAAGAAATAAATTACATTTTAACATTTATTCAAATAAAAAATAGTTATTTTGAATTGCAATAATATTTCACAATATTACTGTTTTTACTGTAAATAAATGCAGCCTTGTTGAGCAGAAGAGACTTTTTCCAAAAACATACTATTGTGAATCCATCTTATACGACTAATTTTTCATGTAAATTCTGCACATAAATGTATGAAAAGTATGAATCTCGCTCTCGTCTCTCATACAGGATGGACAATAATGAAGGGAAGAGTATGTACTTAAGTCTACTTTCATGGCCATCTCGTAGGACGGTGGGAGGTGCGTGAGGTTCTGGAAGGACCGGGAGAACGACAGGTCGTACGGCTCTGTCTGAGATGTCAGGATGTTGTTCATTCTTGGCTTCTCTGCAGGGCAGAAAGGAAAAAAGAGGCAGAGAGAGAGAGAGAGAGAGACAAAGATGAAACACATCCCATACAAGAGAAAGCAGTTCCAGCTCCGTGTGCTCAGGCCACCGTGGCATCTGTCTGAGAGTGTGTGTGTGTGTGTGCTGGAATAATTTTTGAAGAACTTGTTTAATGAGGGTGAGTGTAGGTCCAGGCAGCTACTCAGCCAGTAAAACACTTGTTGGGAATGTCGTTCCCTCATTTTTACTGTGTGCTCATGGGACCAGGAACTGCCAGGCGTGGGATTTGCAGGCTATTTTCAAAGGCTTGTGTTTCTAGACTTGCATATATGACATTACATAGGCGCACATATACCAGACCGCATATACACTGCAAAAAATTATTTTCTTACTCAGTGTTTTTGTTTTGTTTTCTAGTAAAATTTCTAAACTTTCTTATAGGATTAGGTCACCCAAAAATGACAATATGCTGAAAATGTACTCAGCCTCAGGTTTGTTTCTACATTGGAACAGATTTGGAGAAATGTAGCATTACATCACTTGCTCACCAGTGGATCCTCTGCAGTGAATGGGTGCCGTCAGAATGAGAGTCCAAACAGCTAATAAAAACATCACAATAATCCACAAGTAATCCACACCACTCCAGTCCATCAGTTAATGTCTTGTGAACTGAAAAGCTGCGTGTAATGCTACATTTAATGTTACATTTCATTTAGTGCATCCATGTAATGCTACATTTCTACAAATCTGATGAAAAAACACACTCAGCTACATCTTTGATGGGCTGGATGGTATTCTTTTAAATGAATATATAATGACGTAAGATATAAAGTATCAAACTATCATAATTAAATAACTTTGTTATTATTTATGCTGAAATCAATAACAAATATCTGCCAATGGGGTAAGAAAAATACACTTGTTTCCCCTTTGAATTAAGTTTGTTTTTCTGACCCCATTGGCAGGTATTTACATTTTGTTTTACATATAAACTTATTTCATTCTTATATATTTTTTCAGAAAACAAGACTTAATACCTTAAGTAATTTAGCATCTTAAGTAAATGTATCTTGATTTAAGAGTGTTTAGATATTTGCACTGGACAACAAGAGACAAAAAAAATACAGAGTAAGAAAATAATTTTTTGTAGTGTAGAGACCAACAGAGATAAGCACAGAGAGACTGCACACAAACAGAGACCAACAGAGAGAGAGAGAGAGAGAGACTGCACACATACAGAGTCAACCCTACATTCACAGACATCAAAGAAATGAGAGATTATACACATGGAAAACATGTGTACTGCTTACCGTAGTACACTATTCGGTGTCCTAACAAACCCAAGTGAGAAAAACAAAATCAGTAACTTTCTTTTGCATGCTTTTGATTCACCGTGTGACATACTGCAGGGTCACTCCATGTAAAATCAATTTAGAAACTCATTCATTTTAGAAACTTCCCTGCCTAAAATTTTTGATTTTGTTGATATTATTTTCCGAAGAAAGACGTGCATAGTGATGAAAGCAAACATATTAAATGTAATGGATGAATATACTGAGTAATCCACTATTTTGTAGAGGGCATCCAAAATGACAATTTTGTCAAATATAATAAGTATCAGCTGAATTAAAAGTGACCCACAAAGTAATTGGTTTTCGACCATTGAAAATTGGTGAAATTTAACAATTTGCACATGGAGACACATTGGGATTGAACCATATAGGACCTTAAAAATGAAGATACCAAAAGAAAAGTTTGATTAGATCCAAAATCTAAAAGTTTATTAAGATATCTTTAACACTGCTTGCAGTACAGACATGCAAATTTGGAAAAAAAAATAATATTTTTGTCAGTTACGTTCTATGCAGTTGTTTTGACAGAAGGAAATTAGATACATTTCTAGTTTTAACATTATTTGTTCAGACATTCCTCTTTAAAAGAAAAGCTGTATGCAAAGGGACCACATTAGGTTTTTGACAACTGAAAACATGTACAATTTACTCCTGGAGCCACACTGAGATCCCCATATATCTGGGATTGAACCATACTGGGCCTTAAAAATGAAGATTACAAAAGAAAGCTTTGTTAAGAACTAAAATCTAAAAGGATATTAAGATATCTTTAATACTACTTGAGTTACAGGCATGCAAACTTTGGGAAAAACAACATGAAAAGTGCTTTTCCCCCATTTTTGAACTGTCACCATTGGCATACAATGCAAAAGAGATTACTAAAGTCGACAGATTTTACTAATAGACGTACCAATCTCTGAGTAAAAGTAACACAATGATGCTGCAATCTTTCTGAAGTCATTTTTCCTCCATGTAATTTGGCTCCAAATCCCAGGTAAAGCCTCTCTTTTTAACTCCCCTCTCTAAAATAGTGGATTAGTCAGTAAATATTCATCCATGGCATTTAATATTTTGGCTTCCTTTTCATTCGTGTATTTCTTTCACCAGAAAAAAAAAAGATCACAATCAAAATTCTTAGTTAGGGACCTCTGGTGGAGTTGACACAGAATATTATTAATGCAGTGAGCTGATTGATATTAACAGTTTTTTTGTGATATCTAGCACACAAGGAGCTTGATTTAACTGAGTGCATAAACTAATGGCAATGCCGTTCCACCACGAGAGATGTGACCGATGTGTGCTTACAGTCTGAAAAGCTTTTTCACACAAAATCAAATTTGGGAAGACGAGATATAGTCAGAACAATTACAACTGTGGCTTTTCAATACCGTCGGCAAACTGTGCAGATCCGATTAGCATACTGTTTAGTTACACAATCCTCCCTGCTAGCGGGGCCATTTACAGGCTAAGCTTTTAATTTCCTGTCAAGAGGCTGTTTTTTGTCAAAACCCTGCTTTTTTTAATCCCAATCAAATTTTGTGTGAAAGGCATCTCTGATCTCGAGGGCCGTCGGGGAGTTAAGCATCTTAAGTAATGGAAATTATCAGTGCTCATCTGATGAGGCTAATTATGAAAATCTTTTCTAGAGATAAAATCTTGCTCCATTAATTACTCCAATCTGATATTATACACCACGTTCTTCACACTTCAAACCATCTGGATGTGGAAGACGCTGATAATATCGAGATGTCGTCATAAATCAATTAAAACTCGGAGCCGCTTTTGAGCAGCATTTCATGAGCAGCATTTTCATACTGCAGATGAACGGGATTTACTGGAAACAAAGATATCGAACAACTCACCGATTTTGGGCGTGTGTGACCCAGTGAGATCCAGATGGCTGGTATAGTCGTGTGGATGGTTACCTGTCAAAAGAAAACCAAGGAAAAACTGGTGTGGTTTATTGTATTCCATACTAATTAATCAACGTGACAGAGTCTGTGCCATTTTTACGCAAAATCCCTGTAAAGACGCAGCATTCTCAACATTTTTTCAGACTGGCAGATGCTTCTGGAAGGCAATGTCTTTGTTTACTGTTGAAAACATCTGTACAGCACCCGAAGGATGAGCAGAAATCCCCCGAGACTTATCAGGAGCACGCACAGAAACGTTTTAGAGAGCAAAACAAGATCAAATCAACAAGTACACTGTAATAACCGCAGCTTTAAGCTTTCAAACAAATAAAGAAAAACTAATAAAAGCGATATTGCTCCATTTCTGCTAGACGTCAGCCTTTACTCTTGAAACTGAAATTAAACTATATGATCTCAGGGATACAGGGTTCATGCAAGGACTGTCTGAAAACAACTAGAGTTGTACATTTTCTGAGGAAGAATTGAATGTTGCTTACATTGCTTGTAAAAAGTTTTCGAAAGAAGTCTCTTCTGCTCACCAAGGCTTCATTTATTTAATTAAAAATGGTGAAAAAAAACTGTAAAATTGTGAAAACTTAAAATAATTGATTTCTATTTAAATATATTTCACGGCTTCATAAACCGTGATACAGGTAAGATTAAAATAATAATAATAATTTTATTCAGCAAGGATGCATTAAATTGATCAAAAGTGACAGTAAAGACATTTATAATGTTACAAAATATTTCTATTTCAAATAAATGCTGTTCTTTTGAACTTTATGTTCATTCAAAGTATGCAGAACAAAGGTTTCACAGTTTCTACAAAAAATATTAAGTAGCAAAATAACCGATCATCAATAATAACTGATAATAATTGAGGAGCGAATCAGCATATTCGAATTATTTCTGAAGTATCACGTGACACTGGAGTAATGATGCTGAAAATTCAGCTTTGCCATCACAGGAATAAATTACAATTTACAAAATATTCACATAGAAATCAGTTATTTTAAAATGTAATAATATTTCACAATATTACTGTATTTTTGAACAAATAAATGTGGCCTTGGTGAACTAAAGAGACATCTTTCAAAAGCATTAAAAATCATAATTGTAAGAGCCGATTAATATGTCAATAATTTATATATTATAACTGTTTGCTTAGAGTGTTGATTTGCAAGGAATGGCCTAAAGTATAACTTCTGTAACTTTCTTTGAGAGGCAATTTTGATATTTCCTATGTATATGTTTCAATATTATTTCTTATGTTTCTGATGTATAATTTCGGTTCTGTTTCTTTAACGGCCACGTCCATGTGCTGTTAGACGAGGTTGAATAGGTGCGGGCAGGGAAATAAGGGAGAAACAGTTTTCTTACCGTCTTGTTGTCATTTATGGATAAAACTTGTGTTTAAAAGTTACACGAGTTAAAGGAACTACAAGTGAAATATCATAGGATATAAGAACCAACTGGATTTTGTAATTTTGTGTTTTGATTAAACTCGCATTTCGGACTTTTGACTGATTTCTGTGACGAGTAAGTTAATCTAGTACTTTGGATCTACAATAATTATTCCAAAGTGTTTGTGGTGCAGGATGAGTTACAAATTTCAATTCTTTGGTTTATTTCGCTTATTTCATTAACCGTAAGTACAAGTCAAAGCAATAGTCATTGACATAGCAATCCCTCTTAATGATCAACCACAGCTGTGTTGTAATTGTAAATCAATTGATATTCGTATTTACTGAGTGCCTCAATGTTCAGAGGGTTGGAATCACACTTATGAATTTCCAAGGGCATGTCTTGGGGTTTTATATAACGCTCTTGCATTCAGTAGACAAATAAAATTTGCGTTAAATGCGACCCCGGGACACTTCAGTGTCATTTACACAATTATATCTCATTAGCAAACGACACCACTGATAACACCAGCATGAAAACCCGGTGTTTATATGTGATTAACATCAGCGCATTCGACCGGCTACAGTATCCGTACAATGCAGACGCAAATCAACACTGACTCGTTATCCGTTTACAATGATCTTAGTGTGAAATAAGCTTGTAAACAACAACTTGCGCGTGATTTCGCTTTAAAACAAAGGTTTACTTCTCTCTCTGGACGTCCCGACACACAGAGAAGAAAAACATGCCGTGTTTGGTGCTTTGTTGGCTCTCTTCTGGGATGCGGATTTGAGGGCCAAAGCAAAACAGACAAGCACAGATGATTAGGTGCACATCCACAGCAGAAAACACAGTCAAATTACACAAAGCAGCGCTGTATGCTAAACCGTAGGACCGCTAGCTGCTGTCCCGCTCAACCGGCCCGCTTTGATCAAGGGACCAATTATCCCGTCTTGAATGAACTTGTTTGGTGCAGCTTTCCTCAGCTTCACAAGGACACGTGTGAAGCCTCGCTACACAACCGAAACCCGCTTTTCGTTAGGAATGACACTGAAGAGGGAGTTTGAAAGAAGAAATAACTCTGCTGCAGATACAAAAAAGCTTTGCATGACGCCTGAAAACAGTTTCCTGAATGCAGAGTTTGTTAAAACCCATGGAGTGTGTTTTGTGTTTCATCGCAGGCACACACAGAGAATTGGCTTCAAATGGTGATCCGAAGCAACTTCAGCTCAACGTTGACAGAACAACACCACACGCTGTCAACCAACAGCAATCCCTCATTTTTTTAGGCCTTTCAGGGTTTCTGGGAACACAGATCAACTGAAAAACAACAGGGACTGTCCACTTGATTTTGGAAGTATTTTTCCCACTGATGTTCTGTGTAGTGATTTCAAAACATTTTTCAATAAAGAGTTATAAATGTTGAAACACACCAACCAGCTCTATGATAAATCACAACATCACTTCTTGAAGCAAACAGAATAGGAAAACTATAAAACTGTGAACTACAATCCAATCAAGAACTGCAAATAATCAGATAAAAAAGGTACAACTTAAAACGACCATTACAAAGTTTTGAAGCTGCATATTCTCATTGCAAAATACTGCGATACATACATGCTACTGGTCAAAAGTTTGAAATACGTACAATTTTGTTATACTTTTATTCAGCAAATATGCATTAAATGAATCCAAAACTACAGTAGGTGCATTTATAATTCTATTTCAAATAAATGCTGCTCTTTTGAACTTTCTATTCATCAAAGAATTCTGAAAAATAAAATGTATCTCAGTTTCCACAAAAATATGAAGCAGCACAACATTGATAATAATCAGAAATGTTTCTTGAGCAGCAAATCAGCATATTAGAATGATTTCTGAAGGACATGATTTCTGAAAATTCAGTTTTGATCAAATAAATCACATTTCACAAAGTTCACAATAGTAAATTGTAATAATATTGCACATATGACTGTTTTTACAGTATTTTTGATCAAATATATGCAGCCTTGGTGAGCAGAAAAGAGTTCTTTCAAAAATATTTTTAAAAATCATATTTATTTCAAACGTTTGACTGGTATATCAAGATCCTGAATTGGATTTGAATTAAAACTCCTCTTTTAATTCAATGTATCGTCCTATGCACTTTGGCATATTTAATTCTGATTAAAATGAATGAATCTGAGAATTTGCCAATTAAACCAAACAAACAAACAAATAAATAAATAAATAGAAGAGTATCCTCACTTTACTGCCTTACAACATATGGTAGGTCTGTTTATAAAAAATTGTTAAAATCACAAAAAATCAGTCTCAAGTTTTGGTTGCTGAATAAATGAATCGTGGCTCATGATTTCTGAGCATTCAGTGCATGATGACACATCCTAGAACGATGTCATAGGGCCCAGCAATACGCAGACGAAAAACAATGGTGCACTTTTAGAAGAAGAGTTCCCCTTCACCAGACACCAATTACAAAATGCTGCTCTTATACGTGACATGCACTATGCCTTTATGTGATGCATTCTCTGAATTTACATTTTTTGATGAAGTTTCCCAAGCCTGGTGTCAAAACAAAATGTCAAAGAGCCCCTCAAGCGCTGGAAGTTATTTCTACATCCTCTGGTCTCCTAAACAGAGGAAGTTTGCTGACAGAGGACTCGACCCTCGCCCTCTGAGTCAGTTATGCGAGACATACACCGCTAGGTCATATTCACAGGGAGTGAATTCATTATACAATCATGCTGAGAAACGTGAATTATCATTTTCATTTCAAGACTTTTACAGTAGAATCACGGCTGCAGAAGAGGACTGACAGACATTAGCTGCAAATGCATTTTGATAAACACTGTTTAAAGGAACAGTTCACCCAAAAATTTAAATTGGATGAAAATGTGCTCACCCTCAGGTCATCCAAGATGTGGATGAGATTGTTTCTTCATCAGACTGGTCATATTCACAGGGAGTGAATTCATTATACAATCATGCTGAGAAACGTGAATTATCATTTTCATTTCAAGACTTTTACAGTAGAATCACGGCTGCAGAAGAGGACTGACAGACATTAGCTGCAAATGCATTTTGATAAACACTGTTTAAAGGAACAGTTCACCCAAAAATTTTAATTGGATGAAAATGTGCTCCAAGATGTGGATGAGATTGTTTCTTCATCAGACTTGGAGAAATGTAGCATTACATCAGTTGCTCACCAGCGGATCCTCTGCAGTGAATGGGTGCCGTCAGAATGAGAGTCCAAACTGCTGAAAAAAACGTCACAAGTAATCCACACAACTCCAGTCCATCAGTGTACATCTTGTGAAATGAAAAGCTGTGTTTTTTAAAGAAACTAATCCATCATTAAGACGTTTTTAACTTCAAACCGTTGCTTCTGTCCAAAATACGAGTACATAATCCATAATAACTCACCATAATAACAGTGAAAAAGTCCATCCCCTGTTGTCCTCTCACATCAAAATCCACCCACACATTAGTTTTGAACTGTTTTGGTTCGTAAACTTGCATGATCTGTGCATATTTCTCTCCTGATTCAGACACAATGCATTTTTCACTGGAGAAAGCAATGTTATGGACAGAGAACTTGTATTTTAGC